CATCACATGAAGGCGGGCTTCAACTTCTTTAGTCGTAGGCCAGCACTCAGCACCGTAAATCGCGACCGGCCGGATGACGGTTCTATAGATCTTAGATTTGAGACGTTCTGGTATGTTCTTATCGCAGAGAACGCCAGTCATCGAGCGCCATTTCGACCAGGCTGCATTCACGCGAGAATTCGTTTCGAAGACCAGGCTGCCGTCAGACGCAATTGCTGATCCAAGATACTTGAATGTTGTACGTGTGAGCTCAGTACCATTGATCTTAATAGAGCCTGGCTCACTCGAATCGGTGGTCAAGTACTCAGTCTTTTTGACGTTCAACCTGAGCCCGAACATAGCCAGACGGTCGGACCAGGTTTGCACCTGTTGCTCGAGCGTGCTTTTATCTTCGCTAGCGAGCATCACGTCATCAGCATAAAGAAGCGTCCATGGAACCGGCTTCTGGAGATCTCTCGTAATGGCATCCATGACGACAACAAATAGGAGTGGGGATAACGCAGAGCCTTGGTGTACCCCGACAGAGATGGGAAAATCCATCGATGTGCCTGCTGCCGTTTGCACTCGGCTCTTTGGACTCGAGTAAGGATGCGCACCCACTCAATAAGCTCTTCGGGAACGCCATGCTGTCGTAAGGCATACCATATAACGTCACGCGGAACGCGATCGAAAGCCTTCTCCAAGTCTAGGAAGGCAAGATGCACCGGTCTTTGTTTTTCGCGATGCTTTTCTAGCAGAAGGCGAGCGGCGTGTATGGCATCGATGGTGCTGCAACCAGCCACACTGGTTGGTGGTCAGCTCGACGATGTCACGGATACGACTGTCTACAATTCGCTCAAAGATTTTCATGCTGTGCGAGAGCAGGCGAATTGGACGGTAGCTAGTGCAGTCCGCAGGACTGCCCTTCTTCCAGATAGGAATCGTCGTGCTCTTGTTGCCAGCTCTCAGGCACCTTCTTCTCTGCAACGATCTGGTTGAAGAACTCCGTCAACCATTCTGCAGGATTCCAGCACTTTGATTTCCACAAGTCCGCCGCTAAGTCGTCAGGACCAGTTGCTTTGCCTGATTTCATCTTCTTCATAGCCGTAATAATTTCTATTCCATACTTTATACGAAATTTGTCCTGCTCAGGTCATCTTCTGAACGGGGCCGAATTATACTGTTAAGATGTTTTCGAAGTAGTCACACCATCGCTTCAATGTTTTCTTGCGGTCCGTCAAGAGTTGGTCATTCTCGTCATGTATGCCGAAGAAGTTTTTCTATATCCTCAGTCTGGCAATGACGAGCCTATAGAAAAAGGTCCATATTCAAGCGCAGAAAGGGAAAAAGGAGAATCACCGTCAGCGATGTGCGCGCGAAGAAACATTGTCGCGTGCGCATCGCCGGCGATGGTTTCTAGAAGCATTCAGTAGTTTCTTTCCGTTCTTCTTTACTGGCGAGTCTATATATGCTATATATTTGTCCTCATCTTGCTATCGAAGATTATGCTAGTGCTGATGGAGTATTGCTAAAATTCTGACATTGCCATAAACCGTCTGCAATGTATTCACACTTTGCTGTTCAGGTATACGGCTTCTATGACGAGTGTAAACGGCGTTATTCAGTGAAATTGTACTACGTCTTCCAGGTAGATTATTTTTTACCCTGAAGCCATTATGATGCTAACCAAAGAGATGAACTACCAGGACCTATTCGATGCACTATACCGTTATGTTCACTGGTCAGTGGAAGGATTTTGGGTATGCACGGAGGTCTCTCGCCGAAGCTGACGTCGTGGTCAATGATGGACGACATCGTACGGCCTCTCGATCCCGAGGATAACGCGTTAGCAATGGTATGATGAGCCAAAAAATATGACTAAACTGGGATCTTAACCACAGAAGCTGAAGAAAGGATTCCACGATAAGTCGGAGATCGAGGAATGGGAAATATCCTTATGCTTAGTGGGAAGGGAGGTGCGCCCCTGAGGATGCGCGACGAGGCGCATTTCGCAGCCAAGAGTATGCCCCAGCGCCCTAGCAGAGCCGTGCTCAAGCCGCTCGTCATTTGACTCTAGCCGATGAAAGTCGTTTCAATGCGAAAATCTACGGCCAAAGCCATTTCATGGGTTCTGAGCCGTTTCTTATTGTTTTCCTTATTCCATGCACCACTGAGCACCTCTACCTGGGTTGATAATGGATTGTCCTTTCATCGTAGACTCCGCCTTCAAAGATAAACGCTTGGAGTTGATTAATCTGTATGGGGCGCTGTCGCGAGATCGCAAGACACCGAGGCATTGTGGTGGCAAATGCATTTAAAACCGCGTAAAGCAAAGGTGTGAGATCGGGACAAAGCGTAGGCGGAGCGGGAGAGACTGCAGACTGTTAGCAGTATTCATTTCCCTGAAGTTCTTTCCCTAGGAGCGCCCCTGTATCTTACGATATCGCCCTGTATCGTGATGCGACACGTATTAGACTTCCACTCAAATCGTAGTAGCATTTTTACACGTACCCGGTCAATAAAGTGAATTGTGAGGGTGGGGGAAAGGGGAGGGAGATGCGAATAAAGTTGGAGAATATTTTTATCCTCCCAGTGAGCCATAATCAACTGACCAATCACAGCTCGATGAAGGATGGAGGTTAGCTCGACCTCGGCAAGATTCGACCCACCCAAAATTCGCCCCAGCACGCCACTTTCCACTCCACCCAACCCAGCTCCAAAAATTTCCCTAAGCTAACACAAGACGGAAGTTTTCAAGACAGTACAAATTCAGGATTTGCTATGGTCGGATCCTGATCAGTACACACAAGGATGGGCGAAGAACACTCGCGGTGTCTCATATGTGTTCGGCTCAGATGTTGTGAAGAAATTCTGCCGCGATATGGATCTGGATTTAGTTGCCAGGTAATAGAAAAAGGATTCATGGAAGCTATAGGCATGGGAGTTCATGAAGACAAAGCATGTTTCAATCATGTGTAAACGTGGCTATTATTCAGATTTCAGGGCTCACCAAGTAGTTCAGGATGGCTACGAATTTTTTGCGGATCGACGGCTTGTCACTATATTCTCAGCTCCAAAGTTTGTTCAGCTTCTCTTCTGAGAATACCTGGCTGGGATATGAGGCTCGACGGCCTGCCAAGCATCGCGCAAAGGAACTTCCTTAGAGCTTTCGGTGCACGCAGCGGTCTGGCTGAAAGCCTGGAATGCCCACCACATGTGATCCCTAGAAATAAATGATTTTCCCAACACCCTTCTCGAATTGCCCGGATATGGCCCTTGGTCCTTTGTGACTCCAAGAACTTGCCGTGCGTGACGGGTAGTAATGCGCTTTCATGCGATCCATCGCAATGAGTAGTTCACTACTGCTAGTCTTCCTTACTTCATTCGTATTTTTGGCGCGGTTCCAATGCGAGGCTTACTGCCATCAAGACAGAAAGAGCGCCAAAGAACAGATTTGCGACCACTCGCACAGAAACCGCCCGCAGCACGCGCTGTTAACGTGCTCACACGCTTACTCTGATGTTACTTCAGATGGACTGAATAGTCGATTGCTACCTCTAGTTGTAGTTGGATCAGTTACTGTAGCTTGGCGGAGTGAACCTAGAGAGATGACGAGGGAGTGGGGGGGGGGCAAAGGGGAAAGCTCACTTTCCGCGGGAGGGGGGAAGCCGGCCCCGAAAAAAAACCCAAGGGATAGAAGCGCAGCGAAAATTGCTTCAAAGTAGTCTTCCTCCTACTCCCTTCTCTACGAATGAAAGAAATTTTTTCAGATATTGTGGAGAATTTGACAACAACGCTGCTGTAATGATAGTGAACAAGAACCTGGTATGTTTAGACTCCAAACAAAAAAGGTTCACCAACGCAGCATATGCCTGGTATCCTTTCCGTGACAGCGTGCCGATGTACAACTTAGGGCTTTCACTCTCCCAAATTTAGTACCAGATTACCGTCCTGGAGGACGATGATAGCCCGGACGATGGTAGCCTGGACAGCATTCGATCTGAGAGTTGATACCAGGACTGTGCGGGTCGTACGTGCGCCACATGTCTATCCTAATCTCGCCCTTGGCATCAGTAAGGCCATTCTAATCATCTTATCACCGTAGATTGACCTTTGCACGAATCATAAGACGCCGACCGTCCCCGGCAAACTGAACAAAGCAAGCGCGATAGATAACCTGATGGGCTCAATCTTATGTTTTGTCAGGAATACACGTTCAAACTACAAAATTCACATCCGGTTTTGTCGAGCGCTGCGTCGCGGACTCAGAGCATCGGCAAAATCGCCATTCAGGGTCGCCCGTCGGAACCTAGTCTGCCCTGCACGTGACAATTTTTGGAAGTAGTAGCAACCAAGCCCACAGATCTAGATTTATGGTACCATAAATCCATCCCATGCGAGGCTCTCTGACGCGGCTATAAAAATTCCACCGTATGTGCCCCAAACAAGGCTCTTTCGTGACCAATGCTCTGCGCTGCAAGGCAATAAATTATTCTTCAGCCTATAGAGAACAAGGAACCACGCTATTAAGCTGAAGTACTAGAACGAAATAATTTCAAATCATTACGTCGTACACTTTCTAAACATAGTACGAAAAAACGAAATCTACTATGCACCTTTCAGGAATGTTCATTCCAAGTTCTTAAAGCCATGGACAATCCACCCAAAGTGAGAGCGCGTGCTAAACAACCAAATGCCCCACCTGATGACAAGCAGAAACGAAGAAATAAGAAATCGTCAAAGAACAACGTGTCAGTCCAGCAATAGAAATAAAGCGTCCATTACTATGGAATACATTCAAATTGCGGAAATCGCAAAACGGTTTCGATAATAAACTGATTATTTAAAATGCATAGTATACAAGCTGGAGTCAGGAAGAGAAACAGTTTTGTATTTTTGTCTCATATGATATTATTTATTAAATTGCAATCAGAGTCCTCGTAATTCGTAAGCGTATACACATTGAGGAAGATGAATCACAGTTAGCCGGTCGGGGTGCACATGAAGGCAATGATGACTAATGAACACAACGAAAACCCAAGAAAGGCGAAACCATAACAGATACCAGTAGCAAACAACCTTTAGAAAAGAATGCAGTGAAAAGACAATAACCCAGTCGATCACACATATTATTACTTGAACGTTAAATAGTAAACATCAAAAGCAGACTGTCTATTTCCCAAGTTCCCTCTTCAGAACTAGTTATAGTGAATGAGAACACATGCTCGCAATAATTAATCTTGTAAGAACATTTGATATGAAGGGCAGATATACAACAAAAATAACTTAGGTGATTAACTTTATAAGAAAATAAAGATAAGAGTGAAGAAATTCATCAAGATCACTGGTAAAACTCAGTCCATACAAACTTTTGTAGCGGTTCATCGACAACACATCGAGTCAATGTGAGATCGCCCTGAGTGGGTTGTCCACTGGTGAGGCAAATACTGCGAAAACGTGTTGTAAAATTATGTGGCCAGTCTCCTAAATGTATGAAAACGTAAACATTTTTCTCAAAATGGATTCCATGAGTCGAACAAGGTATTCTTAAAGCAATTTCATGGTTCACAAAACATCAGCATCAGATTTTTGAAATATTTCAATGCCGTCTTGGTAACATTCTTGGGGAGTCAAGATGTATTGGAAATTGGAGAAAAAACTAGACACATACGATGCACTTCACATGAACAAAAATTGATATACTACTCACCTCATCATAGGCCCAAGGTCCATTGACAGTTCCTTTTACACAGTGATTGGCCTCAACACGAACTCCTTTTGGTGTCAGACACCACTCTCCCTGCGCCAGTTGTCCTTCTGTGTTGAGTCGTATGAGCTGAAATGAATGAACATCCAAGTTATATATCACAAATCCTCAGATTTGCGACCACCATGAAATATATGGCACGGACACATGCATATATGAGGCTGATTTGGCAGTGAGTTTAAAGAAGCAATCTCTAATTCACAATTAAAAATGTTTTAATAGGGTCTCATCCAGTTCAGTAAGGGGCATTCAGCAGGCTGCCCTCCACGCCCCACCCCCTAGAGCCTTACACCCCCTGGTCGCACAGGTTTTCTTGAATACGAACCCGTTAGCCAGGGGGAGGAAGGCCCAGTCTAGGGTGGGGCAGGGTGAATATCGGTCGAGGAAATCCTCGACAGGGGGGTCGTACCTGTTGGGCTGGTCCATGGGGGGTCGTACTCTTGGGGTCAGTAACAGAAGTGGTATCATGGTGCAGATAGGTAATAGGGTATAGCGCAGCAGAAAATGAAAACATCCGAAAAAAACATGATATTAAATTTTCTTTGCAGGTTCAGTCGCTCCATTCCTCCACCTTCATGAGAAGGGCGTATTTGAAGGCAGTACAAAGAATGAAAGTGCATCCCCGCAAAGAAGAGTGCCACATGTGCGCACGCGCTGCAAAGGCACCTCCTCCGCCTATCACTCGCTCCTTCTCCCTTAATACCTCGCTGAGAATGACGCTGTTAGGGACCCTGTCGGAAAAACGACAACCGTGAAGAAAAAGCGCTGGGCAAATGAAGTTGTTTTTTAGGTTACAGGAATAGCACAACACACTATGTCTACTACAATACAGTTTCGTTCGAAGGTCCCCATCATATAACACCTTTCAATCGATTCTGCAACTGTGAGTGGAGGAGGGATGCATGGCTTATACCAATACCAAATCGGATGATGACGATTGCTCCTATTCTTATTGTTTGCGTTCAAAGATATTGTTCTAGACACATTCCGAGTGTTGCCAACGAGTCACACTTGCAATGGTGAATGAGGGAGCGGATTTCCAGGTGGCCGGATCCGACCTCGATAGATCCTCGACGCAATTATCTCTTCAACCAAAAAGCTGTAGAAGAAAACTAAACAGACCATCAGGAAGCGCAAACCTTCCGCTTTCCAAAACTATCTTCCCTTTTTCAGGATCTTACAATATAAGAGATATATGCTTCTTGAAGTGGCAAAAACTCGCGTGAAAATTTCGCCTCCTCGACATTTACTCGACGAAATTTGAGAGACCCTATCTTTCTGCAAGGAAGGCTTCCAGAGCAATTTCAATGCTTGTTGGAAACGCGAAATCCAGCTCTATCTAACTCTACCTCAAGCTGCTTCAAAGGTTATGAAATGGAGGAATGCAACCTTTTCATCGAGGTGTAGATTCGGACGTTTTTTTTGAAATTTCGGCAAATCTGACCCAGTGACAATCGCGCCGCAGCTGCCGTTGAATCGGCCTTTGATACACTCGGCTGTTTTGATATACTCAAGCAAGAATCAAGATTGAATCGCAACCCCGTGTCTTCAGGATTTCTGTGCGTTTCTGAACGAACCTCGCCTTGAGGTCACACAAAGTTAATGCCTCTTTCCTCGAGTCGATATTTCAGTATGTACACAAAAGTATGCAGCGATGGAAGACGTGCATAGATGACAAGATGAAGCGTCCTTAGCATTATTTTGCAGAATTTTTTTTGATTTGTTTTGCAGGATTTATTTTAATTGAATTAATTTGCTCTGTTAGAGGGGGTCGTGCCAGGATCTCGATTTCGGGGGGGGGGTCGTACCTCTGCGACCACGTACTCGACACGATTTTCACCCTGGTGGGGTGATGGGCAGTCCACTTGACGTTGGGATCCACGAGGCCCCCCCCGTACATGAGCCCTTTTAATATTATTCAGCTGACCCACTCCTACATGGCTTTATAATCAGCACAATCCGTTTTGGACACGAAATTTCGTTTATACGAAAAGCCAAATGGAGAGGTCGAATCAAATTCGGGGAGTGGGGCCTGTAACAATATGTACTGGGTGGGAGCATAATCGTAGCGATTCCATTTTTCATTTCTTCACAGAAAAATTAGAAGCAAAAAACTAAAACATAAATCTCACGATATAAGAGTCAGCGACGTTCATTTCGTCATCATTTACAATTTTGAGTGAATTTCGTAGGAGATCACCGGATATAGAAAAAATATTGAGCTCGTTTTCGAAGTCCTTATTATTCTAAATTTGTACGAAATGAATATGGTTTGATTTGGGCGCGAAAAGGTAGGGTCGTTCAGAGCAAAGTTCGATTAGAAAAAATGGATT